ATAAAATGTATTTTGGATACACATAAGCCTAGAATTTCTGCTTTTTCTAAATAATCAGTGATTAGACATTTTTTAAATTAATTTTTTTATTTTTTTATTAATATATAATGTATTAACTAGCCCCAGGGGTATAGGTCTGTGAATCGCCAGGTTTACACACTTCACAGCACTTACCATAGCGCATACCCTCCCCAGTGTCAGTAACCCTACCACTCTCTCCCTACCCCCTCTCCTCGGCAACCCTCAGTTTGTTTTGTGAGATTTAAGAGTCTCTTATGGTTTGTCTCCCAATCCCATCTTGTTTCATTTATTCTTTTCCTACCCCCAAACCCCCCACGTTGCATCTCCCCTTTTCTTATCAGGGAGATCATATGATAGTTGTCTTTCTCCTGTTGACTTATTTCGCTAAGCATGATACCCTCTAGTTCCATCCACGTCCTCGCAAATGGCAAGATTTCATTTCTTTTGATGGCTGCATAGTATTCCATTGCATATATATACACCACATCTTCTTTATCCATTCATCTGTCGATGGACATCTAGGTTTTTTCCATAGTTTGGCTATTGTGGACATTGTTGCTATAAACATTCGGGCGCACATGCCCCTTCGGATCACTGTATTTGTATCTTTAGGGTAAATACCCAGTAGTGCAATTGCTGGGTTATAGGGTAGCTCTATTTTCAACTTTTTGAGGAACCTCCATGCTGTTTTCCAGAGTGGCTGCACCAGCTTGCATTCCCACCAGCAGTGTAGGAGGGTTCCCCTTTCTCTGCATCCTCGCCAGCATCTGTCATTTCCTGACTTGTTAATTTCAGCCATTCTGACTGGTGTGAGGTAGTAGTATCTCATTGTGGTTTTGATTTGTATTTCCCTGATGTTAAGTGATGTGGAGCACTTTTTCATGTGTCTGTTGCCATCTGGATGTCTTCTTTGCAGAAATGTCTGTTCATGTTCTCTGCCCATTTCTTAATTGGATTATTTGTTCTTTGGGTGTTGAGTTTGATAAACTCTTTATAGATTTTGGATACCAGCCCTTTATCTGATAATGTCATTTGCAAATATCTTCTTCCATTCTTTCAGTTGTCTTTTGGTTTTGTTAACTGTTTCCTTTGCTGTGCAAAAGCTTTTGATCTTGATGAAGTCCCAGTAGTTCATTTTTGCCCTTGCTTCCCTTGCCTTTGGTGATGTTCCTAGGAAGAAGTTGCTGTGGCTGAAGTCAAAGAGGTTGCTGCCTGTGTTCTCCTCAAGGATATTGATGGATTCCTTTCTCACATTGAGGTCCTTCATCCATTTTGAGTCTGTTTTTGTGTGTGGTGTAAGGAAATGGTCCAGTTTCATTTTTCTGCATGTGGCTGTCCAATTTTCCCAACACCATTTGTTGAAGAGACTTTTTCCCATTGGACATTCTTCCCTGCTTTATCGAAGGTTAGTTGACCATAGAGTTGAGGGTCTATTTCTGGGCTGTCTCTTCTGTTCCATTCATCTATGTGTCTGTTTTTGTGCCAGTACCATACTATCTTGATGATGACAGCTTTGTAATAGATCTTGAAGTCTGGATTTGTGATACCACCAACTTTGGCTTTCTTTTTCAATATTCCTCAGGCTATTCGAGGTCTTTTCTGGTTCCACATAAATTTTAGGATTATTTGTTCCATTTCTTTGAAAAAATTGGATGGGACTTTGATAGGGATTGCATTAAATGTGTAGATTGCTCTACACATAGACATTTTCACAATATTTGTTCTTCCAATCCATGAACATGGAACATTTTTCCATTTCTTTGTGTCTTCCTCAATTTCTTTCATGAGTGCTTTATAGTTTTCTGAGTATAGATTCTTTGCCTCTTTGGTTCGGTTTATTTCTAGGTATCTTATGGTTTTGGGTGCAATTGTAAATGGGATTGACTCCTTACTTTCTCTTTCTTCTGTCTTGTTGGTGTAAAGAAATGGAACTGATTTCTGTGCATTGATTTTATATCCTGACACTTTACTGAATTCCTGTACAAGTTCTAGCAGATTTGGAGTGGAGTCTTTTGGGTTTTCCACATAAAGTATCATATCATCTGCAAAGAGTGATAGTTTGACGACTTCTTTCTGATTTGGATGCCTTTTATTTCTTTTTGTTGTCTGATTGCTGAGGCTAGGACTTATAGTACTATGTTGAATAGCAGTGGTGATAATGGACATTCCTGCCGTGTTCCTGACCTTAGCGGGAAAGCTCTCAGTTTTTCTCCATTAAGAATGATATTTGCGGTGGGTTTTTCATAGATGGCTTTGATGATATTGAGGTATGTGCCCTCTATCCCTACACTTTGAAGAGTTTTGATCAGGAAAGGATGCTGTGCTTTGTCAAATGCTTTTTCAGCAAGTGATTAGACATTTTAATCTAGTTATTGTGGTTTTAAAAATAACTGAAAAGCTAGGTTTTACAAAGTTTATTTTTTGTTGATTATAAGATATTTTTGTAAACAAACGATTTGTTTACATGTTTGATGTATAAAGTACAAAGATTCACCTGCCTTAATTTTAGGTACTGCCACTTTAATACAGGCTGATAAATTCTTTCAAGTTTACTTGGTAGGCTTTGTTACTCCCTTCTGTAAGAACAGCTGATGCCAGGGTGGGGAGAGTTAAAATGTCTTTAAACCAGCTGTCAAAGCATAACTTCCTCAAAGGTCAAGCCCAATCATACGGACACTTCTAGCATCCTATCTGTAACCTGGTTACTTTCTGCAACTGCTTAATTCCAAAGTGGTGCTTTTCTGTAGTGGCAGGTGACTAGAGAGGTTATTTTCATACATTGCCCATATTATTTATTCCATACTATTTGAGCTGGGGGTTGGGACAAAAACATTATCAAAGGTGGGAATCCCCATCTTCCAGAAAATAAGATATATATCAGACATGAAAAAATGAGATAAACTTTTATTTAAGTAAGTAGGTTAGACTGTCGTAATGGGTATGTACTGACTTGGAACAATTGAAACAGATTTACTAAAATTCCACATAAAAAATTGGTAGAGATTATTCTGTATCCCAGTTTTAAAAAAAAAAAAAAATCTTGGGGCTCCTGGGTGGCTAGGTGGGTTAAAGCCTCTGCCTTCAGCTCAGGTCATGATCCCAGCATCCTGGGATCGAGCCCCGCATCAGGCTCTCTGCTCAGCAGGGAGCCTGCTTCCCCCCTCTCTCTGCCTGCCTCTCTGCCTGTTTGTCATTTCTGTCTGTCAAATAAATAAATAAAATCTTAAAAAAAAATCTTCACTTCAAAATTTAAATTGTAAGCCTATTGTAAAGGAGTTATGCAATTTTTTTACTCACTTATGTCCTTTAATCCCCACAATAATCCAATAACATAGACATTGTTACTCCTATTTTAGAGATGAGGAAACTGAGACTGATAGAAGTTAAATAACTTACCATTGCTTCATAGCTACTGAAGCCTTTCTGGTTGGAACTTGGATCTAAATCTTACTCTAAACCATGTGGTTTGCTATACTGTTTCCTCTACATTGATGAGTCCTTTATTGCACCATGCAATCGGTATTTGCTGTTTTAGTCTGGAATCTGGTCATCTTATTTATAAAAGGATGGATTCTCTGATTTTAACATGGGATATTCTTTAACTGTAGAGTCTTGAATACTTTAAATGATAACTAGAAGAAGAGAATGATCAATTTTTAAAAAGACTCATCATTTCATTTTGACAGGTTTTATTAAAATGAAGCTGCAAAAAATATTTGGAGAGCCCAGGGTATTAAAAGATTGAAAGGGGTTGGGGCACCTGGGTGGCTCAGTTGCTTAGGGGTCATGATACTAGGGTCTTGTGATTAAGCCCTGCATCGGGATCCCTGTTCATCAGGGAGCCTGCTTCTCTCTCTCCTACCCACTCATGCTGTCTCTTGATGTCCCTCTCTCTCTCTCTCTCTCTCTCAAGTGAATAAATCAAATCTTTAAAAAAAAAAACAAAGATTGAATGGTGTGCCTGAGTTGCTCACTTGGTTAAGTGTCTGACTCTTGGTTTCAGCTCAGGTCATGATCAGGGTGGAGGGATCAAGCCCAGCACTGTCTGTTTGAGATTCTTCCACCTTCTTTCCCCTGCTCCGGTGCTCCTCCCGGTACTCCCAGGTGCAGGCACTCACTCTCTCTCAAATAAATAAATAAAATCTTTAAAAAAAAAAAAAAAGATTGAACAGAAAAATCCCTGGTTAATTGCAAGATAATAATTTCTCCATCCCAGTGGTTAATGTTAATTTACAACAGCCTTTCTTTTGGATAGTATACAATCAGCATAAAGAATACTTTCTTACTTTTAATTTTTAGCTGTCTTTTAAAATAAGCATTAATCATTATATGTATTTGAGGTGAGTCTTTTTTTAATTGAGGGTATAAAAAAGTAAAAGAGGGAGATACATTATATATGTATATGTATCTCGTGTGTGTGTGTGTGTGTGTGTGTGTGTGTGTGTATTCTAATTGTGTTTTTAGATGCTCAGTGACTTCTAAAGTGATTTAAGCTGATTGGTTGATGAATAATGTTTCCTTTTTCAATTTTCTGAGTTTTAAAAATCTTCTAAATTAAAAATACAATTTTGGGGCACCTGGGTGGCTCAGTGGGTTAAGCCTCTTCCTTCAGCTCAGGTCATGATCTCAGGGTCCTGGGATTGAGCTCTGCATCTGGCTCTCTGCTCAGCAGGGAGCCTGCTTCCTCCTCTCTCTCTGCTTGCCTCTCTGCCCACTTGTGATCTCTCTGTGTCAAATAAATAAAATCTTAAAAAAAAAAAAGAAAAGAAAAAAAATACAATTTTTAAAAAGTGGTTGGTTTTGTCTGAGAAATCAGATGTAGACTCTTATTTTGTATGACCAGCATTGTCAAGTTTTTAAAGCAGTGATATTTGTTCCAAATTAATTTCTTTCAAAATCACTTATTAACTGTTTTATGTAATGTGGAATTGTGTTCTTACACATACACCAAAATTGATGTCATTATTATTGCTTTACAGGACCCATCTAGAACAGTTTCAGGCAGATATAAAAGGTAAGACTCCTTAAATTTTAACTTACAACATATTATAGATGTGACTGTAATATCTGTCTGACCATAGCTTAACTAAGGAGAACTGTTTCAAACAGCTTGTTGAAAAATAAGAAACCTTAATATTGTGCTGTTAAGAAATTACATTGTAGGCAGGAGTATAGTAATGTCTGTTTGATCATGACTTATTCTGTTATACCCTGCTGTCCTTGAAAACTGTGCATACCATGAATTTGTATGGAACTGATGAAATTAAGCAAAATAGAAACTAAGAATCATATCCCCTTGTGTATTTGAACATTGAAAATATAAGTATACTACCTTTATTAGTCAGCTTGGGCTGCCATAACAAAGCACCATAGAAAGAGAGGGCTTAAATAGAAATTACTTTTCTCACGGTTCTGGAGGCTGGCAGTTAGAGATCAAAGAGCCACCAAGGTCAGATTTTGGTGAAGGCCATCTTTGCAGTTGCAGACTTCTTGCTCTCTCCTTACTGTGGTAAGGAAGGGGCCAAGGAGTTCTCTCAGATTGCTTTATCAGAGCACTAATTCCATCCATGAGGACTCTATGTTTGTGACCTAAGAACCTCTGAAACACCTCGAAGCTCTATCTCCTAATATTACCACATTAAACATGAGGATTTCAACATACAATTTTTGGGAGGTTGCAGAACACTCAGACAATACCAAGTCTTATACACTATGAGTAATACTTTTACCAGAAAAATGTGTTTGAGTATGTATGTACATGTATAGGAGGAAAATCAGAATTAGATATGAGAAGTTGTTTAATGGAGATGCTTGGGCTCTTAGCCTCCTCTTTCCCTGGTGACATCATAAAGGTTACAGAAGATATGGTCATACATGCGCTAATAATCATAGAATAGTGGTAAACCTTATCAAGTGCTTATAATGTCTCAGGTGTTTTACGTAGAGGGATCTCATTCAGTTCTCACAATTATCTTAAAAGGTAGGTATAATAGACACAATGTTTACTTTCATTTTGTAGATGAGAGAAGTGTGGGGTTCAAGAGGTAGAATAATTTCACTAGGGAATAAGGCTTGTTAGTCATTAGCAGAGTCATGATTTGAACTCAGACAGCCTGACTCCAGAATACACATGCCTGCACCATCTATGTAGATCTATACACATAAAACCGTCGATTTCCTCTATTTGTATGTTAAAGTTTGAAGTGTTTGGTTGAAAGTTTTAGTTAGTATATTCCATCTAAAATAAAACATTAAGAGGAGCTCTAATTTTAATACTATTACATATAAATAAAACTCAATTTTTAATTTTTAGTATGGGCCATAATATCTACTAGTAGTAGAAAAAGGTAAAAAGACCAAAATAAGCAACAATTGAGTGTAAGAAAGTGAAATGGTCTCAGGTGAACTTAATATATTTGCTACTGCTTCTGTTTTAATTTTCATTTCTGAGTAATTCTGATTTAGGTATAATGAAATCTGTGATTCTTTTTAAGTGTCTAGCATTTATACATTGCTTAATAATTTTTACTGAACATGAGTAGCTTAAACTGGAAAGAATCTCATTTCTTTTGCTAGAAATTATTGCCAGTCAAATAGCTTTGATTTGGCAAATTTATTTCCAGGCCACATTCTCAAACCAGAAACATTTTTATCATTAGTTTTTGGTTTGGGGATAAAGATAAACTTAAGTAACTTAATAAATGTATAAATATTTACTTATTAAATAGTAAACCTTGAATTATAATTGACACTTTTCAGATTAGTGTTAAGTAGAATTAACAAGGGAATACTTTTCTTATGAATACTCATCAAATACTTCATTTACATTTCACTGTGTTAAAGCAGGAAGAAGATTGGTTTTCCATCATGTATGTTTCTATTTTTAAGCTTTTCAGACCATTATTTTACTTGGGACCTGTTGCTATACTGATACTTTTTTGTTTTCGTGACCTAGAGCATGTTTTGTTAATTTTCAGCTTTCAAAGGTTTTAGCCCTGTTTAATTCTGTTATAAAACAAACATTTTTTAAAGCTTCTAGTCATTATTCCCTGACTTACAGCAACTTGTAGTTTGAATACTGTTTAAAAAGGAGAAAAATGACTTAAAAAATAAAAACAAACATAAAATCTAGAATCTAATTTGAAATTATTAATTCCTTATCTAAAGAAATTTGTTAAATTGTGAATCATCAGTTCATTACTTTCATTAATATGTCAGCACGTGTAGCAGGGACTAGAGAATGGATGATCTTGGTGAGGGTGTCTGCTGACTAATGGGCATTTAAAAAAAGGAAGACTGCCTAAAGAATAGAAATTTGGCCTCATATGTTAGAAAATGTTTCCACTGTACCAAATAATTTATGAGATACTGTACACAGCTAGACAAATTCTTAAAAAGTCATTGGAGGATACAAGAACTCACAGAACTAGTTTGTATGTGTGCTGTTATAAATTATGAATTAAATATTTAATTTTTCTTACAAATAGCAAGAATGTACTTTTTGAGAATTGAGTCTGTTAAATACTAGTTAGGCTGTATTTTATTGAAATCAACTCTTGTTTATCTCGGGCATCTCTTATATATGGACTAATTTCCTTTTTAAAACATATTTAGAGGCACCTGGGTGGCTCGGTTAAGTGGCTGTCTTCGGCTCAGGTCATGGGGAGTCCCAAGATCAAGTCCCACATTGGGCTCCCTGCTCAAAGAGGTGTCTGCTTCTCCCTCTTCTTCTGCTCCTCCCCCTTCTTCTGCTCCTCCCCCTGCCTGTGCCCTGTCTCTCTCTCTCTTTCTCTCTCTCTCTCTCAAATAAATAAAATCTTTAAAAAAAACATATTTAGAAATTATTTGGAGGTGGGAATCATGAAATTTCTGCAACTCAAAATTTAGGAAAAATGAATCAGTATCACATATTCATAGGTTTTTGTTTTTGTTTTCATTGTGTGATTTTTCTTAATAAGCCTACTTGGTTAAGTTTATAGTGCATTGGTCAAAATAAGGTTTTTTTTAAAAAAAGGCAAGACAGGTTATTAGATGTGTGCTTGCAGATACCCTACTCACTGTGATATCTAAATAAAACTGTCATACACCAAAACAAAACAAAAACAAAACAAAACAAGACAGTTCTAAATGACTTGCAAAGGGCAGGATTAACCAGGGTGTATAATTTACCATTTTTATTTATGTATGTAATTCAGCCGTCAGGAATGGCTCTGATTAAAAAATAGGGAAGAGAGTTAAGACAAATACTAAGTTTTATCATTCTCACATAGTAATTAACTGGTCTCTTTGTTTTCACAAATATATTTAATGCAGTATTAATTGTTTTATTAAGTAATTATGGAGTCATAAGTGCTTCTAAGTCCTCCCCCCATCTAGTAACCTTAACATTAGGTTACATTTATGTAGTTTTTAATAGTATGCAAAGCACCTTCACCAGACATTACCCAACAGTAATCCTATCAGGCAGTGGGACAGGTATCTTCTTTTCCAAAGTGAAGAAAAAGGCTTTAGTTCAGTGAACCCTTTGTTTTACCACATGCCCTCTGAGCAGAAATTAGTTAAGTTACAAGAGAGGAAATATTACAAGGTTTTCCTTTATTTTTTTTATTGTAAAGATTTGAGAGAGTGAGAGATGGTACCTGCCCTCCAGTGAGTGCAGGGCGGGTGGTGCAAAGGGAGAAGCAGACTCCCCACTGAGCTTGTCCAGGGGCCTAATCTCAAGGTCCTTTAGATGATGATCTTGATAGGAGCAGGAGCTGAAATAGGAGTCTTGAAGCTTAACAGACTGAACCACCTGGGCGCCACAAGGTTTTGCTTTTACAAAGAGCATGGACACATCAGGATATGAATGTTAGAAAGAAGAAACATTGTCTTAACTAAAACATAGGTGCAAAATCCTATTTCAGATCTATAGTGTTTTATGTTTTACTCTACTTCTTTCTGTAACTCTAATGTGTGTACCTTCATTGGGACTTTTCTTCCCTTATAATTTTTTGCTGTTACTAAAAGCGATCAGGGTAGAATTTTTATACGATTTAAAAATTGTTTTCTTTTCTTTAAAGGCAGTCCTCACTATTGAAGATTTGAATTGGAAAAGCCCACTCATAACACTACCCTCCAAGTTAATCATTATTAACATTATTTTAATTTTTTACTTCCACTTTATTTTTTAGGCTTTTATTTAAATGACCATGGGCATAATGGATGTATGATTTTGCATTCTGGTTTGCTCCTTCTTAAGTTTTCAGTAGAATGGCTGATATCAACAGAGCAGTCTCTTCTTTTCTCCCTTTCATGAAGTATAGCATAAATATACCAGAGACACTCATTGTAACTCCTTTGGGGACCCTTAATTTCTTTATTTTTTATTTTAAAGTTTTTATTTATTTAAGTAATCTTTTTTTTTTTTTTAAGATTTTATTTATTTGTGTGACAGAGAGATCACAAGTAGGCAGAGAGGCAGGCAGAGAGAGAGGAAGGGAAGCAGGCTCCCTGCTGAGCAGAGAGCCTGATGTGGGGCTTGATCCCAGGACCCTGGGATCATGACCTGAGCCGAAGGCAGAGGCTTTAATCCACTGAGCCATCCAGGCGCCCCTTAAGTAATCTTCTATACCCAACATGGGCCTGAGATCAAAAAGTTGCATGCTATTCTGACTAAGCCAGCCAGGGTCCCTCAATTCTTTATTAGGACAGACATGACAATAGCATTATCTTCCTGTCAGTTCTGCTATAATACATGTTTTTGGAAACTCGAATTTGTCCCAGTGGATATATTAGGGAACAGTTTGGCCATAACACAGATTTTTGTGTTTGCCAAGACACAATTTTGTTCATCGGAAACACTAGGTAAGCGCGTAAAACTGTACCCAGCTTAACTGAACCATGTAGGAAGACACAAAAAACACACACCTCAGACATCTACCAGCTGACTTGAGTGTGAGTCACAGCCATTCATTCACACGTGGTGTCACAACTTCCCATTTGATTTCAGATAACTCTCCTTCTTACACTTCT